GGGTCCCGCCTCCCTTCCAGTATCAGCTTCGTGTTGACCCAGCCATAGCTGAAAGCAGATGGGGAGAGAGAGCCGTGAGGACGCGTGTGGTGTGTTCCCCTCTGTTTACAGCATAAAACACCTTCTGCTGATTTGCTTCCCCCAGTTTGACAATATCTGGTGAAGTAAAAGGGGCTGGAATGGTTTGTGTGCTGCTTTTTCGGCTTCTTTGAGGTGTTTCCTACTTATTTTAAAGCTGCAATGAAGCCAGGCCACTTCTGTACCCACAGTTTCTCGTCCTCGCTGGGACCATCCAACCATACCTGCACTGCCTGGGGAAAGCACATCAGTGACTCCCCAAAATAACGGACTGAAAATACCTGTATCCAGGGAACATTTCGAGCTCTTTAGGTGTCAAGTTCCTGAATCCCAGGACAATGTTCTTCCAAGATGGGTCCTGTGACAGGGAAAAATTATCCAAGCTCATTAATGAACCCGAATGGCCACAATGAACCCACTGTGCCACCATAAGGGGACACATCCCACCCCAAAGGGACTCGGGGCTCTTCCAGCTCCCACCCTGGGAGGGCTCAGACCTTATTTTGTACCAATATTGCACTGCAGGACCCAGAAAACACCGAGTCCTGGGCAAACTGTCACGAGACAAACTTGGAAAGATTCGGGAGCATTCAGAGCATTGCCTAGGATGAAGGACAGCCCTGCCCACCCCCACGCAAACTCCGAGCTGGAGCCCTTCCCAGCCCTGGCTGCGACTTGTTCCTCACCGGCACTGGCTGCGTGAACAGGTTGTAGCCAGAAACGAGGAACAGTCCCATTTCCTTCGCCACCGGTGAGCCCAGGTATCCCAGGAGGAAATCGAACGTCTCTTTATTCCACACCCTGCAGTGAAAACAGGAGAGCGGTGACTCTGCCAGCCCCACGGAGCTGTGCCCGGGCAGCTCAGCCCCACGGCACCAGCTTCCCCACCCTCCTCCTCCTCCTCTTCCTCCTCCCTTACGTCTCCTGCAGGTTGCTGTGGTCGTTCAGGTAGGGCTGCCACAGGCCGGCGGCCCCGTCGCTGGTGGTGTGGGGTGTGTGGCGGTCGGCGTAGATCTCCATCTCCAGGTTGGGCACCAGGCTGTGGTACTGCTCGTGGATGCACAGGGCAGTGGAGAGGCCGATCACCCCGGCCCCGATGACGGCCACACGCATGGCTCCGGCTCTCTGCAGTGGGGGAAATTCTTGAGGGGCAGTGCTGGGGCTGGGGAGGTGCTGGGACACGCAGGCTCCAAAATCATGGATGAGGGGGTGCAGTTTGCCACGGTTGCAAGGGAATGTTTTCCCATTGCTCGCAGCCCTCATGCTCAGGGCAGCATCCCTGGCTCTGCTCCCCTCCACCCCCTGACTTTTCCCTCTTGATGGAGCTTTCTCTCCTTTTCCAGCCCTGTGATCACTGTCTGGGCCGAGAGGGACCAAGGATTGATTCAAGAAAGGGCTGGGGATAAAATGGGGCAGATCCCCTAGGCCTGGGTCCCAGCCCTGGATGCTCAGTGCATGGGGAGGGACACCAGCAGCACCCCAGACCTGTTTCTGGGCAGCACGGATAAACTTCATCGTTTGATTTGGATAAGGCAAAGATCAGCATCTCCGCTGTGAAAGGCAGCCTGCAGCGGGACTGACATTTGCCAGGATGCAGGGATGAGTCATCCGGATGGCGAAGCACCGGCAGCAGCAGGAGATCCACGCTGCTTCCCATCTGCCGTGGTTTTATAGCCCGCGGCAGGCAAGAACCAGGGCCCCCTCCTGGACCTGCAGCTACAAGGATGCACCCCTGCAGCCCCAGCCAAGGAGGCACCCGCCTCGCTGGTCAATAAATCACAGAAACACAGGTTTTTCCACCAACTTACCTGCACAGTGCGTGGTCCTCGGGGTGGCTGCTGTGGTTTTCAGGGATTTCAGCAGAGCACCCTTCTTGAGG